CCAGAACGGAGCTGAACCGTGTGCTACAGTCTCATGAACCTTTTTAGTCTTACTCTGATTTTGACCATTCCTGAGGATTTGTATGTTAAAAAGGATCATTGCCATTGGAAGCCTGGCAGCTCTTGACTGTTTCCAAATGGAGGCACAGGTCTGAAGTCTGCTGTTAGTAAAAAGACGACAGACAACACTGTCTTGTCTAAACCAGAATTTACCAGTTTAGATGGTGGGGGCAAATGCACTGTCTAGAACCCACAGTTCCTTACATGTGGTGACTTTGTACCAGAGATCATAAAAGATCTAGTTTTCTGACTTGATACTGTTCATCTGCCTGTCTTCATGTGATGTATGGCTTTCGCATAAAACAGGTCCATGCTAATTTTGAACTATTTCTTAGTTGTATATGATCTTTTTTTTTGTTTGTTTAGATTGGCAGATACAAAGCCCCTTTCCACCAGCTAAGAATATCATATGGTACTAATAAAGGGAAGAATTACACTGAAGAGGAGGATCGCTTTCTAATCTGCATGCTTCACAAGCTAGGCTTTGATAAAGAAAATGTCTATGATGAATTAAGACAGTGTATCCGAAACTCCCCGCAATTCAGATTTGACTGGTTTCTCAAGTCCAGAACTGCAATGGTATGTAGTAATCTCTTCTGCTTCTTGTTCGTGAATGCCTGTAACCACACAGTTATACACCAGGCTGATGAAATAGCTTTGAAATACTGAGGTATGTGCATGTGTACAATACGTTAAAATTTTATCGACTTTCCAACAACTGTAGTGGGTGGGAAATGCAGTAAACTAAAAAGTCTTATGGGAGGAGAAATTCAAAATTCCAAGGTACTGTTTTTCAAAATCAACATGACTTTGACTTAAATACAAACATGTTTGTAAAAGCAAACATCTTTCCTTTCAAATCCATTCCTGTGAAGCCAGCTAAGTAACTGTCAAAAAATATTTCACTCCTTTTTCGCTCTGCCAAGATGTAGCAAAAAACCTTACCTACTTAGGGGTATTTCTGATATTCTAATATAATTTTTACATTAAGTGGCTGCCTAAATGTAGTGAGTGAATATGTTTTGCAATTTAGGAGCTGCAAAGGAGATGCAATACTTTAATCACCCTGATTGAAAGAGAAAACATGGAACTGGAAGAAAAGGAAAAGGCAGAAAAGAAGAAACGTGGACCAAAACCATCTTCGGTAAGATTTAAAAAGGTCTTTCTCTGGAAAAGCTTATTTGAAGACTGGGTCCTTTTCCAATTGTCTGTGATATCTAAAGTTATTTAAAAACAACAAAAAACCTTACAGGGCAGTGTTAACGGCTGCTTAAAGTTCATGCTGTCATTCAGCTAGTACGGTTGTGGATGTCAAACAAAGGCAAATAAGTTTAGGTTCTAAATTGCAGCCCAGGTGCTTTGGAGCAGATAAACTTGCTATGGTTTAGATCACTGAGTTGGTACACTGTATAGGTTTACCCTGGTAAAATAAACCAGAGATTTATTTGGCCTTTTGATCAATTTTTATCCCTAAAGAAATGATGCGTTTACCACCGAGGGATCCATAGGCGATACAGACCGTTGGTTCCACTTTGAGAATGCTACAGATCTGGTTACAAGTGTTCCTACGCAGACTCTGCTGTCTGCCATCACTTTCCTTGTACGGGGGGTTGGTCGTGAAATGGGCTTCTAGAGCTGGATTTGAGAAAACGGCACATACGCTTGACTACTTTGCTCACTAAACTCAAAGTACTGCTAAATACGGAGGCCTGTTTCGTAAAGGAAATACCAACTTTACCCGTTTTCTCGCCTAGATTTGTTGTTCAAGTTGTCGCCTAGAGCTGTTGTATCAAAAAACTTAGACACACAGCTTACTTTGCAGATATGCAGAAATCAGTAAAGTTGTGGATTAATAATTTTTATGACTGTTTACAGAATATTTAAACAGGTATTTTGAAATACCATTTCATAAATAGGAAGCTTTACAACATTTGCTTCTATACACTTTTTACTTCTATGAAATCATACTCTTCCAGAATTGGAAGAATACAAACCAATGGCTATCCTGAGGAGGATGTGCATATTTGCCACATTACAACATTTGCAATTTATCACATTTTAAAGGGGCCGGGGTGTAAATCATCTCCACCCACTTCGACTTGAAACGCATTGCTTGCTTACAATCTTTTTGTATCACAATAACTTATTAAAAAAACCCTTACCTTACAGGCACAGAAGCGCAAAATCGATGGTACTCCTGATGGTCGTGGAAGAAAAAAGAAGCTAAAGCTGTGAATGCAGATTTTTTGTAATCACTAAATTTAAAAAGTAGTTCTTTAATTTACGGGTCTTCATAAGATGTACTGTATAATGCTCAACTATTATGTCATTAAAGGACATCGGGTTCATCTGTTTACTGAACTAGAAACATAGTACTTAATGTAGTTTCACTTTTTTAAATGCAACAGCTGTGCTGAATTTTTTTTACCATTAACACTTGAAGTAATAAATAGGCTTCATTTATTAATAAGGCTTCACGTGACTTTTTTTTCATTCATATTTCCACTGGAACACCTACTTATTTAGTCATCCCCCAATGTTTTTTTTTCCTCTTAGGGTGTTGTGAACACTTTTTCTGTTACAATCAACAGACCTGTTTAGCTGTGTTTTCTTGTTACAAGCAACCACCAGCCAGACCCCATTTCTGGAAAGTCTGTGGCTTTGACCTTACCTTTATTGAACTGCATTTTACTGCACAGGTAGCCTCTGTACTTCGACATCAGTGAAAGGCCAGGTATTTACCTCAAGAACTAATGATCAACATACATACAGATTAGAAAAAATGATAACATTTTTCTGCTTAACATCTGTGCCAGAAGAAAGGTAGGTCAGTCAGTCAGGCTGAGGTTTGTACTTAGAAAGGCCTAAGAATGGTAGAATTGTTTTTATCACCAAACAGCAACAAGTCAGAACAGAAAACATAACAACATGTGAAACAACTCACTCCTCTCAAACAGCTGTGGTAAATGCAGGGACAGTCTTGATTAGTGTGAAAAGAACGGGTGCTGACTTTAGGTGCGCACGGTTGTACTGTCTGGCAATCCACACTGTTCACCGAGCTGGTCAGACTGTACCATGCATGAGTGTTCCTCCGCTATCCTTCGGTTTTTATGTATCTGGCATATAATGACCAAGATCAAATCGTGTGTTTCCCAATGCTGTCATCTAATGTAGCATAATTTTGGAATTTACTAGGGGGAAAAAAAAAAAAAAAACAACCAACCAAACAAAAAAAACCCAGAACAAATGCTCAGTTTGCACTGAGTAATCTTTGCTCAGTTGTTGCCCCTTTAAGACCACATATCAAAAGGCATCAGTGTTGTGTAAACAGGGAGAAATGCATCCCTAGAAAAATAAGCAAAATGAGACAAGAAAAGGCTGAGACCTCACAGATGTAGATTTCATGTACAGCAGTACAGTTCTTAGTACCTTAAATGAGTTTCTATTTGCAGACAGCAGCTGAAAACTGGTTGAGTAACCATACTTTGCTCTTCAAAAAGTCAAAAGAACTTGGTATGTACAGCAGAGTCAAGGGCCAATGTGCAACACTTTACAAGCTGAATTGTTACGGCAGCCTTAGAAGACGACATCGGTCTAACTGCTTCTGCTTAGTGTACCCTAAACAAAACTGCTGCAATGCTGAAGCCTTCCTTTAAAAGCATCCCTTCTCACAAAAAAAACCCAAACACCATCAAAAACCCAAACGACAACAAGCCGCGATTGCTTGGTTACAACTAGCCTAAATAAAAACGTTTAGAGGAAGCAGAAGGGAAAGATTTAGTAAATAGCTGAGGAGCTCCATTTGTGCTAACAATTCTCAAGTGCCAGTATGCAGAAAGTGAAAGGAACTAAACCTTCATCTTGCAAATGGCATCCTACTAGTTACAGAAAATCCATTTTCTTTCAAGCAGAAGTAAACGAAGCAAAGTATTTGCTCTAGATGATACAAGTGTGTTCCCCCAGTGCCACCTGGCAAAAGAAGCTACCTTTTAGAAGTATTTGCCTGCATTTTGATGCTATAATGTCTGTATCATGCAAAGGAAGGTAGGCAATTATTGTACAAAATGGAAACACGGTCATTAGTAGTGTTCTGAAGTACAAGAATCTGTTTAAGGATGTTTGAAAGCACTTAATGCCAGCGCCTAAGCACTAACATAACTATTTTTCTAGTGTGTCTTTACAATATCGTTCTAATTCTCATTGAGCACGTGTAATGCTCTCCTTACAGATAATTGCAATTACAGCCTTACCTCTGTCAGTCTCCCACCGCTGTCCATACATCTGAGGTCCCCATTAAAATCTGAGACAAAACTGTTAAGTGTCGCTCATTTAAAGGAACACTGTCATCTACTACTTCACTTCCATTCTAGTACTACTACCTTCTTCCTTCCACAGCAGTAATTATTTAAAAAAAAAAAAACAAGAACCACCCCCCCGAAACAGTTACATGAAAGCTAGATACTGTGCATGTAATCAAAACCAGCATCATTCTAAGCACCAGCCTTTCATGGTGAATATAACGCACATTTACATATATTCAAAACATATAGTCAACACATTAAAGAAAAACTAGGGTTTTTTTTTAAAAAAAAAAAAAAAAAAAGCATCAACTCCCATCCATGCAGTACTAGTTTGAAGTCTATGAGTCAGTCACTCACACATGAACCAAGTGCACAACCCTGTCGGAAATAGCTGCCCATTACAAATAACTGAACCAGAGCCGCCACCTGTCCGTGCAAAGGAGCCAGCCAAGCGCTAGATTTGAGAGTGCTTTTTGGTGAAATGACATGTTAAAAGAGAAGCACCAAGAAATTGCCTAGACTTCTGAGCTGCCACCGCTGCTGTGTCATGTGGTCATAGTTCCACCGCTGCTGGCGTGGCTGATGGGCACCTTGCTGTTCCCAGCGGAGGGCCGTTCCCTCCGCTTCAACAAAAAAGGAGTTATGACCACAGTGCAGAGCAGCAGCAGCACTCCTGCCAAGCTCCAGGAGCGGGCACAATGCTGTTTCCAGAGTCCCTGCTTGTGATTGCCAGAACTGGCCTGTGATGCGGCACACCAGCTGGGACCACGTCTCGCTGCATGACGACAGCTGTTTCCAGAGTCCCTGCTTGTGATTGCCAGAACTGGCCTGCGATGCGGCACACCAGCTGGGACCACGTCTTGCTGCATGACGACACTTTGTCAGAACGGTCAAGTGCAATATGCTGAATATTCGTGCCCCTGTTTTTATCTGCTCCAATGTCTTGCATGAAGACCGGGATGTCTGGGTTGGCTCTTCTGCTGCGTTTAAAGGCTGTGGTGCTAACTCTTCCTTTAGCAGAGGACAACACACGTGGTGGTAGTCAAGACTTCTTTTGCCATTGTGCCTCTGTGCATTTTCCTTCGATCGGACTGCGTAAATAGTGTGAATGTACCATTCTCGGCCAGCTGCCACCTTAAAAGAAAAAACAAACACATAAAAACCCAACAACCCAGAACAATCCCCTCATGCACATCTACTATAAACTGGAAAACACCAGGCATCAGATTCATCCAGACAGATGGCCCACATTTGCTGCCAAATGTGTCTAATTAAAGTCAACAGCAGAAATAGGCACTTGGAGACAGGATTAATCTTTCCTTAATGCAGACTGCTGAAGTAGGTCAGAGAGATAAACTGTGTTTAAGAGAGCCTTTTTCTAGTGCTAATGCAGGAAGGGCTACTGCATTTACCTAACAAAGCACTGGTCTTAATTTAGGCAAGAACCACCCCACTTCAGGATACCAAAAAAAGACTTCAGGAATTTGAATTAATCTGACTTAAAGCAGGATGCATCTTTCATTTTGTATCATATACAAACCAATTACCCCCCCCCCAAACCCATTCCCCCCCCCCCCCCAGCTGCAAGAAAATAAAGTCTAATTTCTTAGTTTTCTCCTGTGTAAAAAGGCCCCCACGGTAAGCTAAACCAGTGACTTGTGCTCCCAGTCACAGGCGCACAGGTCTGCAATAACAGCAAGGCCGCAGAAGGGGAGCTCAGTGTTGCAAAGCAACGCTGCCGTCGCCTCTGTGCTGTTCGGCAGGGGGAACAAAGTAGATGTGTTGCCAAAGTCTGTCGCTGGCTAACATAGTGCCCGTGATTACCTGCACGCTCTGTTCTCCACCGCAGTCGTCTTTGAGTGTGAAAGAATTTCTGTGATACGCTTATTGGGCAACTTACCTGGAAGAGTGGAGCGGATGACAGGCTGAAACCATCAGAACCAGGCTGATTTACTAGAGGAAAAGCATCTGCACGATCAGCTGCTAATGTAGCGTGAAACTCCAGGTTTCCAAAGGCTCTTGCTTGTGTCTCAGGTTGAGCTTTATCCTAAAGGAAGTAAGTTTCATATTTCCAGATTCACATGGAAACGAGGGATCTAAAACTTGCCTGTTACTATAACTCTTTGTTTACATACCAGCATCTTGAATCTGGTACGTAAGGTACAAGAGGGAGGGCGAGTCAGCCAGGCATCCATCTTCCTGATTGTCTGGGCTGTATTTGGGCACGTACCCATCGGCACCAGTGCAAAGGAACACCTTCTCGATGTTGCAGCTGAAGGAGCCACCTAGATTATGAACTGGATCCACCATCACTCGGCCATAGATTTCAGAACCTAGTAAAGCAGATTCACACATTTTACATTATACCAGTCAATTTAAAATTATTAAATCAAGTTATTACCAAACCATTGTTCTTAAAAATTTGCAGGACAGGAATTATCTAGTTTTAAGTGTATTTCCCTTTGCACATGAAGACAGCATGTTTCATCACCGTTACTACTAATTTGTCATGTGCTTTAGTCTTATTTTCTGTTACAATTTGTACTAACATGTGGTTCTTACAGTGCAGCTCTTTTTTAAGCAAGCTTTTCCCTTCTCTTCACTAGAGGGCAACCCGTATTCACGTATAAGAAACTACCAAACCTGATAGCATTATATCAAGCAAAATAAAGTTCTTAACAGGACATTTGGGTTTCAAACTGATAACTCAAATAAGGGACCAATTAAAATCAAAATTATTTCTGATCCAATACTGCCATTACCAGGAGTTTCCCTGGAACCTAATAAGAGCTCCAGTCAGTGAGTACAGTGTGTGAAAGCACCTGCCCTGGGCCAGAACTCAAAAAAAGTCAAGAATGAGTCTGAGCAGCTTGGCTGAAGCCAGCTGCAGTTACTGTGCATCCAGCCTGCAACAGAGAACAGCTGCATGACCAAGTCAAGGAGCCTCAGGTGTACCAGTATTCAATTCCTGCACTTCTGACTAGAATAACCTAAGCACTGAAATTACTTAGCCCCCTCAAAATGGGGGGGCTGCAAAAAGAACTGCAAAAAGTTCTAGTGTGGGCAGCTTCAAAGCAAAACAACCAGACTGAGGGGAATCTGTGATTATGCAGTGACTGAGCAAGAGTTTTCACAACTGCGGTTTCAGATATATGCACCTAAATTCTGCACCTTTCTTTGGAATGCTTTTCCTCTCAGAGCCCATGAACAGAACCAAAGCCTGTTTCAATTACACTAAATTACACCATATTTTAGTGCTTCTGTATTTTACTTTTCTGCAGTGGAAGTACACAGACCATGTAGGGATTATAAAACTAGTAAAATACATATTCAGCTCTTGTTAAAAGTGGTTCTGATTTATGCTGAACGTGCAATTGACGTTTTACCTTTAGGAAAGGCTACATCAGCTCCTTCTCCAAATCCCATTGACCCATCAGGTATCCAAAGCTCCTTTTTGGACAGCAGAAATATTTGAGTATTTAGACTGAACTCTGCTGCCACTGGGTCACTGACCCGTGGGGAAAAGTGAAACTAAATGATCCAAACAATGCCTTGGTTGTAGCTTTACAATGATCTTTGTATGCCATTGCCATAGTAGTGATGTGCTGATCAAACCTTTCAGTAGTACGCAGCATTTGTAAGAATCCCTCCTACATGTATACATAAACCTCCTGTTGCGCTTCTCATCATGACCCATTAAAATACACAACTGTAGTGCTTTATTTCAATGTTGCCGAGTAAACCAGCAAAAGATATCTGTTTCCTCAGATACAGGGCAGCAATGTATCTTTTCAGTGACACTTGCAAAAGTTACTGCGAGAACAGGGCTCAATAAAACTGGGGGACCCAATAAAACTAGATCAGGACCAGAACCTATCTCAACACCAACTCATTTCCCCTACTCTAAACAACAATCTGCATATCCAGACCAACGAGCACAGGATGGGAAACCTCATCTGCCCCTACTCACGCCCGGCTGCACTGTGCACGTTCCACTTCCGACCTAGAAGCCGCCTGCAATTTGCCTGGAAAAGTAACCTGGCTAATGGCCCACGCCTGGAGCCATCACAGGAGTTGTCCTGCAAGTGGGTTCATCCCCCTGGTACAACAGTAGATCCCTCCCAGTCACCACCCTTCTGCCTTCCCCACCACAAACACCTCGTGGCTGCAGGAGCCCGACGGAGCCCAGCACATTTGGATGGAGGAAGCTGGCACCGGGCCACAGGTCTGTGCCTGCCCTGTGACTCCGGCACTCCGGAGTGCTGCAAGACCTACCAGATGTGTAATGGCAGGGAGATGAGATGTAGAGTGGAACAGAAGGCAAATGGCTCTCCAATACAGAAATAAGGCAAAGAACTAAACTCTCACACCACTACTTAATTTTGTCGACCACAATAAACCCAGCATCTAGGGTAATAGTCATAAGGGTGTGATTATATACACAGAAGTGAAAAATTAACTTAATATGCAAATGCCACCACAACTCCAGTTATTTCCTTCCTCGTTAAATTATTTTCCTCTTCCTGTGTAGCATTCATGTCCTGCATTACAAGGCAGAGGCAGCAGAAAGACTATTGCTGAAGCGGTATCTTTAAATTAAATTCAACACCAATTTGACCAAACAAGACTGAGACATTCAGTTAGTTTGCATGTAATACAGTTGTCTCCACACTTGCCACACATGCCATGCAACTGGATAATGAAGCAGAAGGCTGAAGAGCAGCTCTAATGGTCAAAAGACCTGAGCGGCTCTGACTGACATGGACAAGGCCTCTGAGGTATCCAGTACTTTGGGGAAAAAACCAAAAATCAGGTCATTCTTTATGTATTGACTGAAGGATGCAATGCTATCCAAAGAGGTTTTAAAAAGTTTGGTATGTTCACTGGAAGCTAAGTCTCAGATTCAGATTCAGAGCCCTCGGTCTGCAAGTGCTACTGAAGTCATTCCTCAAGCTAACTGCAACAGAAAATCTGGTCTTTGTAACAGTCTACAATAGTAAGTTACTGCTACTTGGTGCACTGCCTTTTTTTCTTTTTTTTTTTTTTTTTTTTTTTGCTTTAATATATATAGGAAAATTGTCACAAAGCCACACGAACTCTGAATGAAGTGTTTCCCACTGCTTGAGAAAAAGACCCTCTTAATACAATTCTATTACACTGAATCTCAGTTTTAAAAATCAACCTCAGAACTACAAAGTATTTTTGAAAACAATCTCACTTAGAACTCAAATTCCTTCCCCCTTCAGCCCCCACCTTCCTAAAAAAAGCAGCAAAGTACTTGGGAATAGGCTGGACTATGAAGTACATAAATGGAAAAATAAGATTCTAATTACTGGAAAAAAAATTTAGTTTGATTTTATCTCACCTGAGAAGATGAGATCTAGAACAATCTACAAGCACTGTAAAACTACTTCTGAAGCAATCTGAAATACTCCACGATTCTCTCTTGACAACTGGTATTGGATGTCCTATGCGAGAACATCTCTTTCAGTGGTTACAGAACACCCACACCTTTCAGTCTAAACTTGCTTTTGGCTTCATGAAAATATGTGTAAGTCCAAGTAAAACGGTGTGGTGTACCTGTTGGAACCTGATGTCCATATCAAACGCAATTGGGTCCCATGGGTTGCAGACTGTCGACAGCAAGGGCATATTGCTAACCAGGCACAGCAGTACAAGGGATGAATTTCACAGCATTAAGTACCTGAGTAATCTCGCACCTGTGAAAAGATTAGAGAAACGAGCACTTCTCCACAGTCTCTGAACAATCACTTTTTTAATTCACGTTGCCCCTGAGGTGACGCTGAATTCCCAGCAGGACCATAAATACTTTCACAAAATTGGATATTGCTATTTACGATCATGGTGCTTTACCTCATGCAGGAAGCGTGTGCGCCAGCACCGTCAGGCACTTCAGCAGCACAGGCAAGGCGCTGACACACGCTCTCTCTCCTCTACTTCTCTGTAAAATGAGGACTAATATAGAATACCTACTATCAGGCCTTTGAAGGACTGACCTTGCCACAGTGGTGGTGGGAATCAAACGTGTCAATGTCCAAATCTAACATACTAAATTTCTCTGAGGATTATTTTGGCCAGATTTTTAGTGAATGCAAATGGCTCCTATACAGCCAGCTCAGCAAGAGCTGAGTAACTGGGCTGTGTCCCTCTCACAGAAGCAAGTCACTTTTAAGCAAGCCTCTTCTGCCCTATTAGAGGCACACGCTTTGGGGCCACAGTAGTTCCTACTGACTCCTGCGCTCAGCAGGAGCTAAGAAGGTTTTGCCACATGTGGGGAAAAATCCAGCTTCTCATAACAGACATTAAACCTTGTCACATTGATTGTTTTGAAATGGATCTCCAAACACACCAACTTCAGTAGAAAAGCACTCATTTACACCTGCTAATGGTTCAATCCATTAAGGCAGATTTTTTTTCTCCCTTTTGCTGACATAAGACCAGACTCACCTGAAACATATCCACGTATGCTGATATAACAGAGTGCAGGCAGGAGAAAGAAGAGGTCTGGGACTTTTTGTCATGCAGACACCAAGGCTGCTCACTCCAGTAAGGTCCCTTTTGCATGCACTTCCCCTGCACAGGGCTGCGTAAGTGCTCCCGTTGCCCTGTAACTGTGTTCCGCTTCAGCACTGGTGTCTCTCTCTCCATAAGAACGTCTGCTCTAGAGTTGGTCTGTGCACTAATTTGTCTCATTTTTTTATAGATTAAAAGCAGCATGCGGTTGAGGGAAAATTCAAAACATCTAGTTTAGTAACACATGGCATTGAAAACCAAACATAATTGTCCTTTGGGTGGGTGTTTTGACTGAGGGAGTCAGCATGCTGTTACAACTTTTGAGATTCTCAAGGCTAAAAAGCATCAAGTTACTGACCATGCGTCTCCCATCATCAGAAGGCTGAACAGGATGGAGTTTAGAAATGACAGCATCTGAAACAGCTCACCTTGGAGCTCTGATTCAGGAGGGCTGCCTATCCCATCTTTCCACAGGACAGCCGCGCTGTACACAAAGGTGAGTCTCAGTTCAGGCTGCAAATCAAAATGTTGCCAGCCACCAGTGGCAGCAGGGGAGTGGAAGGCATAGGGGACATAGAGAGGCACCCACAGAGTTACATACGACTGCACCAGATTTAAGACCTGAAAAACATTGAGGTACCAGGTTACTGCATGCAACCTGAAAAGAAAATTACTTACACTGTCAACCTGGCAGTCTCATGAACTGCACTCTTTAAACCTAAGCAAAAAAACCTGCACAGAAACATTTAACATCTGTTACTGACATCACTATTATTTCAGGTCCTGCAAATCACCTCACTTGATAGTGTCCTCAAATCTTTGCCAGTTTAACATAACAGGGTTCATACCTCTCCAAATAAGGACCATCTAAGATTTTGTTTTACCTTGGAATTAAAAAAAAAAAAAAGCCTTCAAAACAAACTCCACAGAAATTGAAGGTGGCCTAAATTAAAATTGCAGATGAGAACCACCAGATTCCTTAGGCATTCAGAAATTAAACAGAAATTTAGAAATGAGTCTTGTAAGTAACACCTACCTTACAATAGATTGAACTCTATGGATTATGGCACCCCAGAACACTGCAATTTAAAACTGTGGTCTGAGTCAAGAAGGTCTCTCTCCATCAAGCAACTAACAACCAACCAGAACGGGCAGCCAAGCAGATAATTAGTAAATAAATCTTTGGCCACTAAGCATCAATTGAGAAGGTTAACAGTTGAGCACCTAGGGAATGGGAAAGCATCAAGCTGCTGAGACAAGGCTGATTCAAGCTGAAGTCTGACCAGAGGCTCTACAGCCCCCTGCAATTTCCTCCAATGTAAGTGCAGTTGCTGTAGGGCGCTTGTGCGTTGCATTATTTTCCAAGTAAACGCAATGTGCCGTCAGAGACTGTGCAGGGGAGCCCCCATACCTGCTCTGTGATCAATGTTGATCTAATTCATATCAAAGTCCTGGAATGATGGCCTGTTTTACTCAGGAAAATCACGTGTGTTTGTTCCTTGTCATCCAAGCTTCTGTTTATAAAATCTCACCCTACTTGACAGCTCTGCCTAAAGACCAAATACTGTAAACCTAAATTAGAGCTTCTAATTAAAAAAGTGGTTTGTTTGGTTTTTTTTTTGTAAAAAAGCATTTTTTACATAGCCTTAAAACACACTTTCAGCATCAGTAACGTACTTTACACATACAGCTTACTTCTATAAGACAATAAAATTGTAGCCTCTTCTTTGAATATGCTGCTACACAGGCTTTGGGTGATAACACAAGCACGTATAGAGTTTGGAAAAGCTCTTTGAGTCAAAAAAGCAGAATTTCTAAAATCCAGACAAGGAGCAACAGCAATGCAGTAAGCTGTGCTCAATTACCAGGAAGATGAATCATATCTGTGCACAGAAATACAGTGGAAAGGAACAAATCTGTACTTCTAAAACATTTGTGCTAAGGGAACACATACCAAACTGCCTGCATCGTGATTAAATCCTTTCTTATGCAATCCTTAGTAACACTTTCTGTTGGACTTGTGCTTCCTCAAAGGAAGGCGCTTCAGTGCCACATACCTGCCCATCTGTGCCAATGGAGCCACTGCAGTCCGTCAGCAACTCAGACATGTCGTAGTAACTGTTGAATTCCCAAAGGCAAGCCTCAAGGTTGAGGTTCTGGTAGAAACACAAGGTTTTGGCAGACCGCAGAACACTGCTGTACTGGTAAGGTGACATTTCTCCAATCACTTTGGGGTTCTTAGTTTCCTCTGTAATAAACCTATGTTTGGTCTGGATCTCATATAATCTAGTAGGTTGGAGCACTTGTGGTGTCCTACACGAGTGCCATCTGGGCTAAGTGTTAGCTCAAAGTTGGATAAGGGGTGCGTGCAGATAACCGGCAGCATTCCTAAAACATAAATGTCACATGACCCTTTAACATCCTGAATGGAAAATGGAGAATTCATTAACTGCTTGTGAACATATTTTTAGAGCTTGGGCCTAGAAACACAGGAGCTAAGGATGCCCGGTGTTTCACCAATACATTAACCTTGCAATTGGCAAGTTGTTCATTAAACATGGATTATTCATGGTTCTGCCACAATGCAGCAAACAACTGTGGGAGAAGAAAAGTCCAAAGCAGTGTGGGTTAATTAACTCTCACCACTTGATGCTTACCATCCATATGGGGCATTGTCACTGTTAGTCGGATCAGATTGTGATGGTCAGGATCATCTGGATCCATGTAGTGAATTTTAGCTGAGAAAGGTTCTGCTCCTACTGTTCCTGGGATGCGAGGTTGGCAAAGACCTGAGCAAAGGGGAAAGACAGGTTGGGAGATGCCTGCTAAACTGTGTCGTATCTGCGTTAAGCAGCTTGGAGATGTCTGTCCACAGCGCTAGGTCAGAAAAATGCAGAAATGTCGACATGCTAATTAGGGAGTTCCTCCCAGCTCTGCCCATGCTGCCTGGTCTGGCTCCTAGGGCCCAAGAAGTCTGTTTTCTGGAGAGACAAGGGCAGAAGTATGGAAACCCTTCAATGCCCAGCAGCGCTGAGGAACCTGACCTCTTCCTGATCTGAATTTGTTCTTCCTCCATAGAAATGGGGAGGTGGAATTTACATCAGCATTTACCTTGGCAGCCATCACTTACTGAGGTGAAGGGTAGGGCAGTCCACAACCACACCTGAGCTCTTGCCACAAAAAACAGGCTGCCAGAGGGGAGCCAACATCTTGCAGACAACAGCTAACTAAAATACATAGTGGCAGTTTGTGCCATTCTGCAGGGTCCACCACTTAAGACTGGAGAGGTATTTCATGTTTGTTCTTTTTCTGTGTATGACTGAGGCAAAGATCATTTCTGATAAATTACACAAAGAACTGGCACGTTAGGAGCATAGCAGTAAACCCACAGAAGAGCTATGGTGCATAAGGGCCACTTTAGTCCTATAAATCTAACACTTAGGAGCCTCAGGGAACCTTGAAAACTTCACAGGCTGCTGCCTAACCTCCTAACGATGGAAAGTCTCAAGGGAGCTACTTTTCAGCCACTGAGCATGAACACAGCTGCCTAAAACCTTGATGGATTTCAGTCCAGATTACTTGCCCAAAAGCATCCCTTCCTTGCCCAACTTGTGATCTTAACAGAAAATGCTGCCCCTATTCACAAGCCTTGCCTTGTTTTGTTGACAGGCTACTGTCACTACAACAGGACCATCACCAATACCCTGGTAACACAAAACTTTTTCAGTTCTTCCCACACAGTTCACTCCTACCCAGGGGTTTTGCACTGTGGCTGGAGGAGATGGAGGTGGAGGACTCCATGTAGCAGAAGGACTGAACTGCACAAACCAGAGAGCTGAGGAAGTACAGCCTGACCCACTTGCATAGTTGGTTAGTGCTTTTCTCACCCAGTATTTAATTACAGAAGGTAAATGAAACATTTTAGTCTAAAGGGACAGAGAAGAGTCACTCCCCAGCACCCAACACTTTGGCCCCTTGAATCCTGAGATGCAGTAAAGTCGGGCTCCTGCTTTAATTTGGGCAGAATAGGACTTTAAAGTAACTCCCAAGTAACTGTTTAGTCACTAATGGACTGAGCAAAAAAATGCATTTTCCTCATCTGAATTTCTGAGAAAAAGCAACAGATTAGACATACACATCTAGATGCAGATCACAGTTAAGAAACCTGAGGGATGCGGGCTAAACTGAGAGTTAGGATGTCCCCTTACCTTCTGAGGCATAGCCTAAGTTCTCAGCAGAGTTATGCATGCAGTGCTGCAATATCTGAATTTCCACATGGATTTCATGCCCCCACCCTTTTTCAGCACCTGTATTTTAACTGTCTTTAGACAACATCAAATTCAATACACCTGCAATCTGCTCCCAGTGTCAGTAGCTGTGTTGTTTAAAACCACATGGAAATAGAGGTGTATTTGAAATACATATATTGAGAAAAGCAAAGGACCCAAGACTGGGGAAGTCAAATTCTGCTCTAGTCACTAGTCAACTTAGGTGTAAAAAATTATTGTCACCATATACTCACCAATCTTTTACACATGACCTATGATGGGTGCAAATTCTTGAAATACCAGAGCTGATGAGACGATTACAAGATGTTTTTGCCTTTCACTAGAACAGTCCCATACATGTATGAAAAAAAAATTAACTAACATGAGCACTAATGCCCTAAACCAAAACATAGAACATCCCATAGCAGACCACCGTCAGCTGCAAACACTATCTCATCTTTTCCCAAGAAAGGCTACCTAATTCCCATCATTAACAACGTACCTTCCTCTCTGTTTACTGTGAAAATTGGACTTAGCAGCTCCAGACCTGCATCACCATTGGCATTCACAGCTCGAGCTGCACACTGAAGCCTGGAGCCTGCCTGGAAGTATATAGAGTCCAGGGAGATGGATTTGGTGCTGGTAAAATAAAAGTGTTGGAATCTACTTCCCTCATCGGGCTGGTGACACCATCACTCCCACTTGGAACACTGACAAGCCAGAGGTACAGGGTCAGAGTATCGTTGATATGCTCCGTGGCACAGATGGAACCAGTTTTATCGTAGTCTGAATACTTGGGATTGCGTGCCTATGGGTTGGCATTTACACAAAGTAGAGGAGGTTATCTATTCTTACCTACACCTGCTCCAGGCACGCAAACTGTTAAGCATTATTCTAACAGTACCGTGCTTGCTACGAAAACTGTATCAGCAAAATAAGACCTTTATGCAGGCACGCTATGTTCCCCTTAATTGATGGGATATGAATGAATGCCATGGGGCTTTTTAAATTAAAACTAAGAACAAACAAACAAAAAACCAAACCCCAGATAGTAGTGAGCTGTTGTTACAATACATGTGTCATCTCTGACCATGTAAACCTGGAAAACACTAGGACTAACTCCAAAAACTGAACTCTTATTTGACATCAAAATCAGGTCTCCCAAATTCAGACACCCTAACTTGAAAAAGCCCCATGTGAAACCACCCTAATAAACTAGAAACTGTTAGAAACATAAAATGAACGGCCTGAATTCACACATCCCTGGCAAAGACCTGCCAAGTTACAACTGCACCCACCCCTGCAGTCTGTTGCTGCTCCCCCAGCAGAATCAAGCAGGACTGAAGATGCGTGTGTGCTTTTTGCTAGTGCAGAATTCCTGAAAATCCTTGTTCCACCCTCTGGAAGCTTCCCCCCCCCCCCCCCCCCCCCAAAATCATCCTTGATCAACAGTTTAAAACACCTGAAGCAGCAGGCACACAAGTACGTGTCCCTCTGCCAGCTCTGTCTGGGAGAGCAGTCTCCTGCAGATGGGACAGATGGCTGATACCAGAGGCTGTTCAGTCAACTTTGGTAAAATCTGCTGCTCAGCTGCTCATGGCACAGTCCTGCTCACAAAGCCCAGGGTGCAAACGGTTTCTGGAAAGCTCTGTATGGCCCAGCCCCAGACCTTTTTTGGGCAGCACTTACCTCTTCCTCCTCACCTTCCTGTCTGTTCAGCTTTGAGTTTAGAGATCTCTCTTTTTCTGGCCCTAATTCCATGTGTCCCAGTAATCTCCTGGAACTGATTAGTTTGACAGCACAGCCCAGTACCAAAGACCTATTTAGGTCAGCAAGAAACACTCACTGCAGAAGAAGCTGTCACAGGTTAGGGGTGTTAGTGACCCTCTCTTGGAAGCTCTCGTTCTGAGTTAGGTCAGCAGAAAGACTTATGCAAGCATCTGTGACGCAGTAACAGCCTGCTGCTTTTAGTTGGCATTTTCCAGAACAAATAATTTTTCAGTTTTCTTACATGCTCCAGAGCATGGAATGAATAAGTTGGACAAAAGCATGCAGAAACAAGTCTTACTGTTAAAAAGACAACAGGATAGCCAGTTGGAGGGTGTGGATTCTCTTTGCTTTTAGCAGTATCGCCATACATCAGTGAGACAACCTGGGGCACAGCTGGAAATATCACATCTGCAACAATGTCCATTTCTTCAATGTACACAATGGCTTTACTCGTCTGAGTTGAGAGAGAGAAAAGGTTGAAAATGCCATTGCTGAAAATAAGGAATGGAGGGAGAAGGAGAAGTAGCACCTGCAACTTAATTTCTGTCACCAAGCTCATTCCGGTTTTACCCAGCATTCTTCAATAAAATGGTGACTTGTATTAAGGAAGATTCAGTCCTCAGTGGTTTTTAAAGATTTTCCACTTAAAAGCTGTTCACCAGCTACTAGCTAAAAATTTAAGGAAGAATTAATTCCCCAAACACTAGGAAAAGGGAAATAAAAATATTCCAATTTTTCTTTAAAAAAAAAGAAGTTAGCCTTGGCAAACAGTCACCCAGTTGCTCACTCGCTCCCAATCTTCAGCATGGCAGGAGGAGGAAATAGGATGAGACAGCTTGTGGGTCTAGCTAAAGACAGGGAGATTGCTTACCAATCACTCTAATGGGGAAAACACACTCAACTTGGGGAAAACTAATTTAATTTATTGCCAATTAAAATAGATCGTGTTAGTAAGAAACAAAGACAAACATTAGAACACCACCTTTCCTCCTCATTTTCCCATGTTTAACTTCACTGCTGATTCACCTACCCCCCCAAAACCTTACCACAAACATAAAATACAAAAACAAGCCCCCAAACTCTCCTAAACTAATTCCAGAGACCATGTAGTAGCTTCAGCCTACATATCACTTTGATCTCACCTGACAGCCAGTTTAGGCTTTTAACAACTTAAGTATAAAGACTGCGTGTTAACTTTAGAGCCTCTGTTTTTAAAACACTGGCCTACAAATTTATGAAGGTATAATATACATGATGTAATGGATGCCAGAGCCATAATTTCTCTGCATGTAGTAATTTGCTGTATGTAGTATTGAAGTAAGAAGCTGCTAGTGTTTGAATCAAATTAGATCTTAAATACAGCCCAAAATGGCAGGTGGTGCTCTTCAGAAATGTAGTAGCTCTAACACTTGCTGTGCTCTCCCCTGCTTCAACAAAATAAAGGAAGAAATGGGAGACAAATCTATGCCCATCAGTCCCCATTTGTGCCTTCCTCCCTGCCCACAGTCTTCCTACCATGGAATGGGTGAGAAGGCCTCAGGGAGCTGCACTTGGGCATACAAAGTGACGCAGAGCACTGACCAGAGCAC